GGGGGAGGGTGACAGGTGTCGAAGCCCCGAAAAGAAACAAGTTGGACTCGCGCGGCGCGATAGCGAATGGGTTTCCAATTTCGAAGCGGCCGAAAAGTTTTCACCGCCGACGTTTGTCCACCGTCGTCCGCACCTTGGACTTTCCAATAAACCACTCACCGAAAGCTCCCGCCAACTTCCGGCACCGCCGGTGCGCGAATTTATGGATTTTCCCCCCGCCCCCCGCCCCGCACCCGGCGTCGTCTTAACGCACAAATTATTGTTCCGTTAATAACGCGTTAACGTATTCGAGGAGCCGGACGGGGCAGGACACACGTGGAATTGTAAACAGACCCGAGGAAGCCGGGTTGCCACCCTCCCTTGAGCCGGCGAGTAATGTAAGAGGTTTACCGATATTTGGACGCATTTATGCGAAAAAAACTATGTTGCATGCAAACCTTATGCACATAGCTCATTTTAGAATTTTTTAAGAGGTTTTTTTAGGTTTTTATCATGTTTGGATGCTGCAAACACACTAAAAAAAACACTACTGTCCAAAATTCCGAAAAAAAAAATGCTGTGGCAGAGTCTAGGTATATAGCGCCAAAAAAAAAATGGAGAGCAAAATCTACACCTACCCCTTAAATTGAAGACAAACAACAGTATATGTATACATCCCGTTTCGTATCAAATCAGACGTTAATAGCCTGAGTCGCTGAATGTCTCAAAATTATAATAACTAACTAACTAACTAACTATCCCCCATAAGTTTTGAATCATTACGTACCTAAGTTACTCCCGGTTTGAAAAAAAAAGTACGTCATGAAGTCTAAAAACGCTGAAAATGGGGAGAAACATTTTTTTTTGTCTAGCCATTGTCATGCCTCCAAAAGTAAAGTTTGAAAGTTTGTAAAGTAAAATTAAAAATTTAATGTGACCAAAACAATAGTCTGACTCACATGTTATTTGGCGAAACGCTGGCTTGAAAAAATGATTTTTCAAAGTAGAGCATGAATAGTCATCGATCCACTTTTTGTTTCATTTCCAAACATACGAAAGAGGATTCGGAACACAACGAAAATTGGACGTTAAGACGTTCGTGGCGCTTGCTTTCTCGAGTCAGTTGACGAAATTGAATTTTTAAACAGAAAATAAGAACGACGGAAACAGAAGAGCACAAAAATAAGCAAACACCCAGATTAGGAGATCTTTATGATTCGTCACGTTAACGATCGATTATGAATTGAGGTTTTCAGCTCCGAAAAATACAGCTCCTCCGATCGTATGTACCAAAACCTCGAAACGAAACAGAAAACTCGCACGCAAGCTCTGTACTAATTGTCTGTTGAAAAAAATTGGTTTTACATAATAATTATTCCCAACAATGGTTAGGGTAAAATCGCACTGTAATCACAAAAGTTCAAGTTTTTTCGATACAACGACTGATCAATCGAAACTTTCACCAGAAATATCACAACAAAAAGCGAAAAAATTAATGCGCAGTTTGCTTAAAACTGCTTGATCCGTCTGCTAAACCGTCAAATTGAGTTCACTTTATTTACAAAATAAAAACAGAAGCAGAAGTTGACAAGACTAAAATTAATAATAAAATCAAGGGATGGATATCCACTGGAAGAAGTGGGTTTTATAAAATTCTCAACCAGAAAATTTTCACAAAAACCGAGAGAGGAACAAGCAGTTAACACAAAAACTCAACACAAACGCACGTCCGTCCGATGAAACGGCTGAGCTGATCAAAACTCCCCGCTAAAAATATCGCAGCGAGAACCAAGAAGCTAAACACGCAGTTCGGTGTAAACTAATCAGTCTATTTTGAAAACCAGTTGCATTAAGTGCATCCGAATAAAAAAAAAAAAACAAAGCAACAAAAGCGACGGGTGTGAAGTTATTCTCAAGCGCACGAGGTATTAACTTCTTAACGAGAGTAATTAAAAGAACAAGATCGAATTAGGCCGCCCGAAGAAACGAACCGAACGATCAAAACAAAATTTAAACGACGTTCACGCCGCGGTTGCTTCTCGACAAAGACGAGTGCCGGTTTATCTCGCGGTGTAAACAATCAGAGATCAGCCAGCGGGTCGATTGTCGAGTCGATATCGAAGAACCTTGATCGATAGAATGCATCGCTACGATAGGGATGTATCGATCAATGGGATCATTCGATAACGATTCAACCATCGACCCGTTGTTCCGTGTCGTTAATCGGTTGATACAACTGTAATCAATCGATTTCGAACTACCTTGATCGATAGAAATCATTGCTAAGATAGGGATTTATCGATCAGAATAATTTGATAACTGTTCAACGATCGACCCGCAGCTCGGTGTCGTTAATCGGTTTATTCAACGGTAATCAATCGATATCGAACAACCTTGATCGATAGAAAGCATCGCTAGAATAGGGAATTATCGATCAGGATCATTCGATAACCATTCAACGATCGACCGGCAGCTTGGTGGCGTTAATCGGTTGATTCAACGGTATTAAATCGATATCGAACGACCTTGATCGATAGAAAGCATCGCTAGAATAGGGATTTATCTATTAGGATAATTCGATTACGATTCAATGATTTATCCGCTGCTCCGTGTTGTTAAGCTGTTGATTCAACAGTGATGCGTGATGGGATACCCTTGGAGATGCCGACGCAGAGAGGTAGAACGCGAAGACGGTAAAACAATAAGCAAACAAGTGTCACCGATGTGTTGGACGGTGGATTCGTGGTCGTCACCGTTGAGTGGACGCCACGCGCGATCCCCGATTTGCGATTGGTTCTGCAACGCTGACGTCGACGATGACGGCGGTGCTTCGGTGTTGCCGATCGGGAGCGTTGATCGTTGACTCCGTGACGTCATGTCACAATGGAGGCAACGTTCATTTCGAGGCTTGGACTACTGAGTCAAAATTGGACAATCTTGCAATTTGGAACTAAAACATCTGGCTCAGTTTAGAAACAACGTATGCACCATTTTCTCCCCTATACACATAAGTGTTTTTTCAGATGGGTTTGAAATTGTAGTTCCTAATTGCAAAATGTATTCCAATTAAGCCATGGAATTGGACTGCATTTTGCAATTTGGAGGTTTAAATTCTGGCTCTTCTGGAAAAACACTTATGTGCATGGGAAAACTGATGGCACATACGTTGTTTTTAAACCGGGGTAGAATCTATACTTCCGAATTGCAAAATGTAGTCCAATTAATCCGGGTGTTCATAAGGGCCAAAATTGGCTCACTCCTGGAGTCACAAGAGTTTTCGATTCATCCGGCGATATTCGCCCACTTTTTGGCTTCAAAACGGTGGCCCTAACTTCGGTCCGAAGGCCAAATCCCAGAAAAATTCGTGTTTTCTCATCAAAACCGCACATTTACTCTCGTGCTGAGCCCAAGAGACTCGGTTGGTGAGCTTTGTATACGTTGTCTGAGACAACTTGACCGTTGAATATTGAAGATGGTCGACAGAACTTCTGGGTCCAGCTTAAATTTTGACTAGGAATTAAAACTGATAAACGCGAATTTTCGTGGATTTTGGCTTTTGGGCTCGAGTTAGAGCCTCCGTTTTGGAGCCAAAAAAGGTGAGTACTACCAAAACACAAATGTTTCTAATAAATGTACGTTACTAACTGCAAAAAAAAAAAAAAAAAAAAATTGGAATCTCGGAGCGAGCCGATTATGGCACTTAGTCGCGCCTCTTATTTTCGTTGAGGAAGCGGAGATACAGGATACAGGAGATCTTCAGCACTTTCGAGAGTGATGCGATGGTGGATAGCCCAATCGGACTGCATTTTGCAATTCGGAACTATAATTTCTGGCTCAGTTTAGGAACAATGGGACTGCATTATGCAATTAGGAACTATAAGTTCTGGCTCTTTGGGAAAAACACTCATGTGCAAAAGGAAAGTAATGGCACATACGTTGTTTTTAAACCGGGCTAGAATTTATAGTTCCAAATTGCAAAATGTAGTCCAATGGATGTACCACTAGTTGCTCTGTGAACTTAAGTGTTTTCACGGATGAGCCAGTTATTTCAGTTCCTCAATGCAAAATGTAGTCCAATTGGTGATTTCCAGATTTGAAATTACCTAATATCGCACATCACGCTGTAGTCCAGCACGTGACACACTTAAAGCAAAAGAAAAAAATTCGGTTTGCGATTTTTCACTCGAGACGTACGTTCGAAGAAATTTCAAATTATTTCTCATTCAAATCCCTGGTAAAAATTGGCAGTAGAATCTGTGTTCCAAAATACCATAGACCTACAGCCGGCTCTAGGATTTCCAGTAGCTTCTATAGCCGGCTAAACAATTTCTTATAGCCTTTTATAGCCGATGGCGATTAAGCAACAGCCAGGCGATAAAGTGTATGCTAAACGTTACTAAGTACGGTTGCTAGGACTTAGTGAGTTTTTGGAATACTGCTCTCTTTTTGGGCCGTAGCATCTTGATTTATTTTGCGAGGAAAGCTCCGTACTTTTGATGGATGCTTGTCATTACTAATATATTAGAGCGCCTTCAGTTTCGTATGATACTGTGCAATACCTCTGGTGTGAAATAGTTGCTTCAAGCGCCGTGGCACGCTGCGGTGCGGCAGGCGGGCAGCCAGCGCGAAACGCGCATTGGCGCCTACAAACCTAACAGGGATACTTCACGCGTTGCGCAATGCGTGAAGTATCCCTGTTAGGTTTGTAGGCGCCAGTGCGTCGCCGCTCCGCTTTGTGTTAGGCTCTAATATTTAATCTGGCGGAGTCAGCGTTATTCAACTCATGATTTTGAAATGTTTGCACATCCTGTATGGATTATTCTCATTTTAATTGATGAAAAAAAATAATGTGTGTTTTGTAAATATTAAGGTGGTTCCGTACTACACTTAATGATTTCCAAAGCACACGAATTTCTACACAATTCCTTATAGCCTTTTATAATCGATGGCGAAAAAGCAACAGCCAGGCGATAAAGTGTGAAGCCCGGCGATAGGAACTATAGCCCGGCTGCATAATTTTTTAGCGCTTCGTATAGCCCGGCCGTATGATTTTCTCCGCATTCTACAGCCTGCTATATGATTTTCTGTAGCCTTCTTTAGCCGGCTATAAGAATTCCTATGGTATTTTGATACGCAGCTCTTATCGCCCATTTTTACCAGGGATATTGTCATGTGCGGAAACTTGAGACTACAAGACAAGGGTAAGTGACATTAGAGGGTCTTTGAAAAAATGTCCTAAAATTCAGATATTGTTAGGTTGAACGACCATTGAATCGTTCTTAACAGTGGCAAAAACCACTTTAAATAAACTTATATCACAACTATTCCTAAGGCCTCTGAGTTATAGGCTTCTGATTGACTAGCGATACAGTGGGAGCTCCTCAATGGATGTTTCATTCTGGTATAAAAGAGCCTGTAAAATTCGACTTCGGGTCATACTGTCAATATTTTCGTCTATACCTCAAGCCTGAGCAGTTTATGACGTGATATCAGTTAATTTCTGTCAATATTCAGCGGCCAGCCTAAATCTTGATGGTCAATATTTACATCACTTCCGAACTAAGAAAAAGCTTTCCTTGTAATCGTTTTCTTCGTACTGTATACAGTAAGATCTTGACATAATCGACGGATTTGAATGACAGATTGCACGCTTACAGGAATTCATTCAAACATGGAGAGGATACGACATCTTCCAGTTTATTGAGTGATAAAACCCGGGTATTTCGTGAATGCAATCAAGCGCAAATGCATGGTCGGTCGTGAGAAAAGGCGTAATTTTATCACATACCTAGTTCTCCGAATATTTGCCACAGTTTCAATGATAACACGAATACAGTTTTAATGAATTCGAGAGAAAATGGAATTACTGGAGGATAGATACAAATTCAAGCAAGGTATTAATGCTAGGATATATTCGTTTTCCCCCCTAAAATTTGAGGAAAATATCAACCATCAGTCATATTTTTGACTAATTTTCCGAAATATCATAAAAAAAATTTCGGAATTTTTCCGACTTCACTGTAATGTTTTCTATGGCTTGGATTGAGCCAGTTCGATGGATAAAACCTAAAAATCGATAGTTGGATCTTTGAAACGCAACTGTGTTTCCGGGAACAACGCGCTAGTGCTGATCGGCGCGTTGCTTGTTTCGCCATAACCTTGTTTGAACCAAGTAGCGGTGACAAACTGTGTGTCAATGCCGCCAGTAATCATTCCGTTTTCTTCACAGTCGTCTACCAATGCTGCTG